GTAAATATTTACTAATTAGACTTGTTTTTAAATCTTGATCCAACTGCAAAACATTTTGGACAAAGAAAAGTTATTTATATCTTCTGTATGTATATAAGGGCAATTTTAAGTTTTGCTTCAAATTGCTTTATCGAAACAACTAAGCAAGATTACATTATGGATACAATAATCAAGCAATACTAAAAAATATCATAGGCATTAGACATTTAAATGCTGCCTTCTTATTTTCTCTCAGCAACCGATCCAAAGCTCCGCGAACGAAGTTTGTACATTCTTGTCAATATTTATTGTATAGAGGTCAACTATAAACAATAAATTTCCTGAAACGCATCTACAAATAAGGACAACGAGAATCAAGAAAAAAATATCGATTTTGGAAGAAACAGAGATGCTCTTGTTTGCATTTTTCATGCAGCTTTCCTCATATTTTATTTTTACTTCCCAATTTCTAACCATTTTTTCCTAACCTCTCCGAAACTTTGCATTTTTACCGTCTGAAAAAAGCTTGCTATCATGTTACGTAAACAAGAAGAGCTCAGGTTTTGTAGAAGCATATATCGAACTTACTTCTTTTGAGTTATTAGGTGAGTTAAGCGGTTTCGAAAACTCTGCATGGCGAAGCGAATGGTTATTTTCCTTACATATATTTTGCTTTTTAGCTTGTTTTTATTGTCAATACCAATGATATTTCTTCTCCAGAATAGCCGATTATGCACATCCAGCAGTAACAAGCACATGACAAGACTTGTTATACGTCTTTTAAAGATGTTGGATTCGTAAGAAATTTATTTTTACGTCTTTGTATTTTTCTGCAAGCATTCGAATTCTTTTGGTAATCATGTCAACAAATCGTTTCGATGTTTTCTCTCAGTTGTGTGTGCTGTTTTCTCTAAATACATATAAATGGAGATTTTCCAATGCTGAACAAAATTTACTTTTAAAAATACTCACGGTTTCATGGGACAAAATTTGAAAATAATCATCTGAATAATCTCTTAAGGAAATTAATCTTTCATTAATATCCAAACATTATATTCATCTAACTATATTTTCCAAAATTTAATGGAATAATACTATCAAAACTCTACACCTTACTTTATAAAGTATTTCTCCCGCCTTCTTAGCGTGCCTTCGTGGTGTAGTGGTCTGCAAGCTGGGCGCGTATTCCAGAGGTCCGTGGTTCGATTCCCGGAGAGGGCATTGCTCATTTTTCATCTCTCTTGCTTTGAATAAAATACAGTGGCATCCGAACTAAAACGGGTGGTGGATGATGATTCTCTACACCCAGGATTTGGCGATTGGGTCCCATAAACCCCAGTCGACCTTTAACAGGGGGAGTATATAAGGTATTTCTTCCGCCTTCTTAACGTGACTTCGTGCTGTAGTACTCTGCACGTTGGGCGCGTATTCCAGAGGTTTGTGGTTCGATTCCCGGCGAGAGAGTTGGTCATTTTTCATCTTTCCTGCTTCGAAATAACATAATATCTCTAGAATTTGTTCATTTAAGTTTTATAAGCAGAAATTAGAAAGAAATCAAACAATAATAATAAACAAAACTAAAGAAATAAAAACTAAAAAAAAAAAAAACATTACACATAAGCTTGCTCTCTCTTGAAAGCGGAGATGTATAAAAAATATTTAAACAAGCAGTTAAATAAACTGAAATGACATAAATAATACCCATCGAAAGTAAATTTACCAATAAAACGTTCCGAAACTTCTCTCTAGACTATCACGCTACATCACATTAATTAATCAAACTCAGAGCTACAGTTTTATTCTTAGTAGCTGATTTCTAGTTTTAATAAACATTAATGAAAAGGTCTTTGCACCCTAACATATTAACTAAATTTCAATGAATATGAATGCTGTTATAACAGATCTTTGAAACTGGTATAAAAGTTACATATCTATGATTCATCTTCAGCTTTTTTCTTAAAATATTACATTTTATGTATTTTTTAATCTCCTTTAAAATGGCATATTAATATATCAAATAAAATTATGATTTGGCCACCAGATGACTTCCTTGTATGGCCTATTAAGTTATGCACATTTTATACTGCATTTCATTTAAACCTTATTTCCTCGAATTTCATTAAAGATATATTTCTCATTCAATTAATTCAGTTCTAACACTATTCATAAAGCAAAAAAATGCAAACAACAATAAGCAATTAACAGATGATTTTATAATGCATTTTAATGCATAAAAATATCTTTAATGCATTTTGTTATTATTGTGCGTTATTGCGTTATATGAGATACATTCAGACGTCAAGAAAAAAAAATTTCTTCAGAATCCATTTTAAACCCTTGTTTAGTATTTTTCGTACCAAACGAATTATTAGTGTGTCTTTGCAACATTAGATGGCGTTGCCGCCTGATGATTCAATTCTGGTTGCTATGGTAACGAACTTTCAACTCTTTCAACTCATAACTTATGTGATTTGTATTCTATTCTTTTTTGTTTATTAATTGCTACAGTGCTTGGAGTGACGTGAGCTGTGTCGTCACATGGACGGCATTCCTTCTATTTCAAAGTGTTATGTAAAATAAACAAGTGATATATTACAGTCCGCTTACCTTTTTTTTGTGAACCTAATTCATAACATTCCTGGTCCGTAGCGACCGGAGAGAAGAGTTAGCGATCTTTGGATATGATGTGTGATTTATTCAAATATTAGCAAGTTAAATCACTTTTCGATTTGTGGATTAATAAACAGCTTAGTGTTCTTTCGATTCGATTTGTGGAATATTCCCGGGGCATGGTGTAGCGTAGAAACCTCAACATTGGTGTGAGTACGTTCCAATATTTCATCTTCTTTTGCTAGAGTTGTTAGTATAATATTTATTGTTGTTCATAATGGCTGACTTGAAACCAGTTTTAACTAAAAAGAAGGTTCTAAAAAGCAATACAACGTTTAAAGGCAAGATAAATTCGAATTTAGAACAAGCAGTAATTTTAGAGGTAAAATTGTTCGAAACGAAACTAAATTCTTTTAACAGTGAGCTTCGTTCTATTTATGAGGAAATATTTTTGTTGTGTCCTGAAAGAGATTGTGATACATTCATTACGGAACAACAAACAATACAAGAAACTTTAGATGAAATTATGGATAAAAACTATAAATAAAAAGTTACAGAAACTTTCCAGTGACTCTGTTATCGAAACAAGTAGTGCAGCAAAAGTAAATTCGTCTGACGTTCGATTACCAAAATTAGAACTTTCTTACCTTTACAGGGGAAATTATATAGATGAGTGGATTAGTTTCTATGATCTTTTAAGGCTAGTGTAGATAACAATCCGAATATTTCTAAATGTCAGAAGTTTTCAATATTTAAAAGGCTTCTTGTAAAAAAAAGGCTCTGTCTATTATTGAGTCAATTCCTATTTTCTGATGCTAATTATTGATATAGCGTTGCAACTTTTACAGGAAACGTTATTCTAATAAAAGAGAATTAACTAATGCATTAATCCGTAAAATGTTTAATTTGGCCAAATGTTTCTGATTCAGCTCAAGCTATTTTACATTGTGTTGATGTAGTGAATGAATGTATACGCTCTCCTTGAAAACTCTTAAGCTAGAAGTTTCTGATTCTTTCTGATGTTCTTTTTGTTTATCTGATAACTGAGAAATTAGATAAAAACATAAAATTTTGGTGGGAAAGGAACTTTGAAAAAAGATGAATTAGGTACTTTAGATAATTTACTCGAGTTTCTAAAAGACCACGCTTAGAACCCTTGCAGAATAGTAGAAACCAATCTAAAGATTTTAGGAAATTTTCTAATTCCAAATTAACTTCTTTAGTGTCGAGTAAAAAAACAGTTGTATAATGTGCAAGGAAGATCATTCTCTTCACAAATGTGGCTAAGTTTTTAAACTTAAGTGTCCAAAAAGAATCGAATTTGTTAAGAAACACAAACTTTGTTTTAATTGTTTATCTTCTCAGCCTCATTTAGTGAAAAACTGTCGTAGTTTACATAAATGTATGACGTGTAAGTTACCTCATCATACTGTTCTTCATTTTGATCGAAATATCAAAACTAGTGAAAATGAGAAACCAAAACAAAACGTCCTCACTCTCCCCCAGTGTCGAAGTATTCTTGCCGAAGTGTTCTTATCAAAGAATGAAGTCGTTACAAATGCCACAACAACTTGTACAGGACAATTTAGTTATTCTAAAGGTGAATCAAAACGTGTATTACTGTGTACTGCTCTCATTAAAGTTAGTGATTCCAATGGTAAAGCCATCCCTTGCAGGGCTTTACTAGACTGTGGCAGTGAAGCCAGCTTTATAAGTGAAGAGTGTGTCAGTAAACTAAAGTTAGGCAGATTTAACAAAAAAATTGAAGTATCGTGCCTTGGTTCGTTCAACACTGTAACAAGTGGAGAAGTGGAATTAATCTTTACCCGCACTTTGAGTCAAATTCCAAATTTCGAACATATGCATTCGTGATTCCAAGGATAACTTCAGATGTGCCTAACGTGTCGCTTCCTTCTAAAATTGCGAATCATTTTGACGATCTAGTCTTAGCTGATCCTAAGTTCTATGAAAGAAAACCAATAGATATTTTGTTAGGTGTAAATGTATTTCTACTATGCTTAAGGGAGACATCATAAAGAGAGGAGAATCATTGCCCTTTGCAATTTGTTCTCAGTTGGGTTGGATCATTTCCGGGAACACTATTACTGATGATTCGAATCTAACTAACACTTTTACAGTGAATAATCTTCAGTTGAATACAAACGAATTAGTTGAAAGATTTTGGTCTTTAGACTCCATTCCTGAAGTCAAACGTATCTCTAGTGAAGATAAAAAATGTGAAGAATTCTTTAAAACAACACACTTCCGTGATCAAAATGGTCGTTATGTAGTGAAACTTCCATTTAAAGATAACCCTTCAAGGTTGGGTAATTCTAAAGATCTTGCTTTACAAAGATTTAAAATCTTAGAGAGTAGAGAGAAATCTCTTAAGATCTCCTGATACATATGATATGTATAAACATTTCATGAAGGAATACTTGGATCTCGGGCACATGGAACCAGTCCGTAGTTCAGAGTCCCCAAGTCAGGCATACTACATGCCACATCATGCAGTAATTAAGGAATCTAGCTCTACGAGTAAAATACGTGTGGTATTTAATGCTACTAGTAAGTCTTCATCAGGACTATCTCTTAACGACATATTGATGACAGGTCCCAGAATACAACAAGAGCTGTTTCCAGTTTTGGTCAAATTCAGATGTTACCCAGTAGTTGTCACAGCTGATATCATGAAAATGTTTAGACAAATTCTAGTTAATGAAGAGGATAGAAACTTTCAAAGGATATTTTGGCGGGACCGTCCAAGTGATCCTATTCAAGAATTTCGACTTAATACTGTCACATACGGCACTGCCTCGGCTCCATATTTGGCTACTCGTGCTTTATACCAACTTGCCTACGATGAGCAGAATAACTATCCTTTAGCTTCGAAGGCTGTACTTCAAAACTTTTTTGTAGATGATTGTTTGGTAGGTTGCTCAAACACTGAAGAGTGCAAAAATCTAGTAAATCAACTCTTGCAAATGTTGGAACGTGGAGGATTTCTTCTGCGTAAATGGTCATCCAATGACTTGTCAGTGTTAGAGAATATACCCCAGGAGTTGAGAAATGATTCTGAGGCTATGAAAATTCAAGACGATAGCTCAATCAAAGTTTTAGGAATTAATTGGAACCCCCGTGAAGACTACTTTAACTTTTCCGTATCCATTTCTGGTGAAAAGCTTAAATACTCTAAAAGAGATATCCTTTCTGATTTAGCAAAAATATTTGACCCATTGGGTTGGCTTGCTCCTTGTATTATTTATGTCAAAATCTTGATACAAGAGATGTGGAAACTCCATTTATCGTGGGATGAACCTGTTAGTTATGAAATTGCTAACAAATGGAAGACTTTCCAAAATGATTTACATCTTATTCAACAATTAAAAATACCGAGATTTGTTTTAATTCCTGATGTGAACTATATTGATATCTGTGCTTTTTGTGATGCCTCCGAGAAAGGCTACTGTGCAGCAATTTATTTGCGTTCAGTGTCACGTAATTTGGACATCAAAGTAACACTCTTAACATCAAAAACAAGAGTTGCTCCTCTGAAAGTGCAATCATTACCTCGATTAGAGTTATGCGCCGCAGTTTTGTTAGTGAATTTGCTTAAATCAGTGTTAGAACATTTAGAGTTTCCTATACGTAAAGTTTTGGCCTGGACAGATTCAACTGTTGTACTGTCCTGGATTTTTGCAGAACCATACCGTTGGGTTCCCTTTGTTGCAAACCGCGTTGCTAAAATACAGAATACAATTCCTAATGTAAGGTGGAACCATATCAATGGAAAGCGGAACCCAGCTGATTCAGGTACAAGAGGAATGTTTCCAGCAGAATTTCTGAAGTGTGAACGATGGTTCATTGGACCTACTTGGTTATATTCACAAGATTTCGAACCATGTCCTGACAGTGAACATCTTTCTGATGTAGATTATGAAGGAGTTCGTAGAGAAGAAAGAAAAACTTGCATTTCAGTAGTATCTTGTGCGGTAAAGGAAAATGACATTTTTAAACGGTATTCATCTTGGACAAAATTACGTCGTATAGTTGCATTATGCCTAAGATTTATTTACAACTGTCGAAACTTCTCCGAAAATCGTTTGAGAGAGTTTTCTGACAACCGATGAGCTTCGATTAGCTACAAAAACAGTGATTAAAAAATGTCCAAGAATCATATTTTCCTCAAGAGCTCTCTTATTTAAAAACATCGAGAGAATTAAAAGGTGTGAGCAGCCGAGTAATACAATTAACTCCCTTCCTTGATGAAGAAGGCGTCATTAGAGTAGGTGGTCGCTTAAAAAATGCAAACACTCCTGAAAATAGCAAACATCCTATTTTGCTTCCAAAGGAAGGACATGTCACTAATCTCATCGTAACTCATTACCATGTCAATTATTTGCATGCTAGTCAAGAGTTATTAATAAGCACTTTACGAATGCAGTTTTGGATTCTTGCGGTGAGAAGCGTAGTGAGAAAGATTATTCACAGATGTATTCCTTGTATTAGAAATCGAGGCAAGACCGACCCAGATAATGGGTGATTTACCCTCGCCCAGAGTTCAACCATCAAGACCTTTTGCAGTCACCGGTGTTGACTATGCTGGTCCATATTCTATTAAGTCCCAAGTTGGGAGAAGAACAAAAACTTTCAAGTGTTACATATCCATTTTTGTGTGTTTCTCAACAAAAGCTGTACACTTGGAGTTAGTCAGTGATTTATCAACTTCAACGTTTTTAGCAGCTCTAAAATGATTTATCGCCCGACGAGGCAAACCAATCTAAAATTTCGAGTGACTGTGCTACTAACTTCAAAGGTGCTAGTAAGGAAACTGAAGGAGATTTATAAAAATGCAGCTCGCATTGAGAAAAGCAGTGAATTATGTGACTACATTACCTCAAAAGGTATAACGTGGTTATTTAATCCTCCGACATCTCCTCACTACGGTGGCTTGTGGGAATCTAATGTGAAATCCATGAAATTTCATCTTAAACGAGTATTAGGATCCAAACTTCTAACTTACGAGGAATTTTTAACAGTGCTTACACAAGTGGAAGCGTGTATGAATTCCCGTCCTCTTTGTGCGATGTCTAGTGATCCAAACGACTTTACTGCATTGACTCCAGGTCATTTTCTGATTGGAGCCCCTTTGCTTGCCATTCCGGAATCTGACTTGAGTGATGTGAAATCTTCACGACTTAAACGTTGGTCTCTAGTTCAACAGACTGTGCAACATTTTTGGAAACGATGGTGTGCAGAATATTTAACAACACTTCAACAACGTGCTAAGTGGTTTCGTGCGTCTCCAAATCTAAAATGTGGTGATTTAGTTCTGATCAAAAACGAACAACTGCCTCCAAACCAATGGAAAATTGGAAGAATTGCCTTAATTCATCCAGGTAGTGATAAAAAAGTTCGAGTGGCTACAATCCATACAGCCGCTGGTGATTTCAAACGAGCTGTTACTAAATTGTGTCTTATCCCCAATCATGACTAATATGAACTATGAACTATTGACTTTTTTCATATTATTGAACTTTAATTTTAGTTATATTTTCAATTAATTTTTTTTTTGTTAATGTTATTATGTATGCTTTAACTATTTGTCTTTTTTGAACCCTTAGAAGGCTTCAAGGCCGGGGGCTATGTTTAGTATTTTTCGTACCAAACGAATTATTAGTGTGTCTTTGCAACATTAGATGGCGTTGCCGCCTGATGATTCAATTCTGGTTGCTATGGTAACGAACTTTCAACTCATAATTTATGTGATTTGTATTCTATTCTTTTTTGTTTTATTAATTGCTACTGTGCATGGAGTGATGTGAGCTGTGTCGTCACATGGACGGCATTCCTTCTATTTCAAAGTGTTATGTAAAATAAACAAGTGATATATTACAGTCCACTTACCTTTTTTTGTGAACTAATTCATAACAACCCTTTTGCGATTCTTTTGGCCAAAAACAGTCCTTTATTCTGCAAAATATGATATCCGAATGTTTTCGTGATTACAACATTTCCTTTACTTCGTACAAAAACTAGTTTATGTGATTCAGGCAACGAATAAAAAATGAGATATCTCCGGAAATTTGTATTTAAAGCTAAATTATATCACCAACTGCAGATATACTAGAAAGATTGGAAACTTCTTGATGGAAAGTACATAAAATGTTATGAAATTACCTGAGTCCATTTCTTGACTGTTTTACGAACAGTTTATGCTAGAATTCATAGAGATACCTAGAATTCTGTGATTAATTTTCAGCCTTTCATCAAGCTTACCACATATCCTCTCCACGGTTTTTACCACACGTTTCATAACAAGTTATAGTAGATTTAGCTTTACGAAATTTAATAATAACAACATCCTGAAAATTTAGAAGGGTTAATTTAGGTGATTTATTCGAATGCAAGAGTAATTACGAATTTAATTAAGATTTCCCTACAGACACCTCATGCGACACTTCTGTGGCGACTTGTGGCTGAGATGCGTGTTCCTATGGGAAGTGAATTTTAGATCAAAATAGCTCTCTCGTGGCAAGGAGCGCAAGTTTACGCGTGTCGTTACAACAGCTTTGAGCACCATACAGAAGATAGCTCGAATTAGCTCAGTTGCGCCCCCACCCCCAGTTTAATGGAGAGCACCCCGGGGGAGCTCTCGATAGTGGTAGGGAAGTGGTAGGGGAAAAGGGTGTGTCCGAAGGTCTCTTCTACCACCAATTTTCCCTATTGTTTTTTTTCCCTACCACCAACCTCTCGAGAGGCCTTTCGGCTAGCCGCATGTTTAATGTGCCCGCATGCCGCACGGACACTATATAATTGCACACATCAATGCCTTTTCCAAGATTCGAACCCGGGCCCTTCGGCACGGTAGTCAGTCGGCAAAATAGTCTTTTATGCTGTCAGTGCATACAGATGCCATGCAAAAACATCGTTCAAATGTTTTGAATCGTTCAAATGGTTTCGAGAGCGGTTGAAATAGATATTATCGTTGAAATATAATAACCGACGTTTTTCGTGACTACAATACTTCCATTACTTCGTACAAGGAAGTAATAATTTAAAAGCACATCGTCGAGAAAAATATTATTTGTGTAGAATTTGTAACCACTACTTATTTGTTATATCGTAAGCGATGGAAGCAGTTTCCGAATTGTTTATTGCGACAACGGCTGTATACTTTAATTTTATGATTTTTTTCACATTAACGCTTGGCTATATTTCTTTAAATTATAGAAGGCATTTTTATGTGTGACAGTTCCTTCTCCTGATGACATAAAATTATCATTCAAAAGGAAAAAAAAAATAAATTTACACATATGTAGTCTGGGAATGTTTTCTTTGGAGTGATTTTGGAACAAAAGTTTAACTAAGGATCTAATTTCTGTGTACCATGGCAATGATCCAGTTTTGTTTTACGAATCATCAATCAAACGCTAATTGTTCTCATTCGTTTGCGTTCTGATTTTGGGAATTTTATGTAATTCAATTATGGTTACTTTTTTTCTTGAATAAAAGGTTTTCTAAACAGTTTAAGAAAGTTTGTTATAGATTCAGAAGGACAGCAAGCTTCTAATATTTGAAGTAAAAATATTTACCATATTTTCCAGCATACGAGTCGACACGGCGTTAAGGTCAATGTTAATATTTTATCCGAACATCAAATAAATTACAGTGCAACTGGTGTAAAATCAATCATCCGAGATATTATTAACAACATTTACAAAAGGTTGGTGAAAAAAGGAGAATTTATCCAACATATATCTTAAAAATACTATATGTCAGGCCAGAAATGAGAGATGCAGTAGAAAAGTGAACCTTTTAAAAATCAACCAAAGGAATATGTTGCTATATGTATCTCTTAAATGAACTAATTCATTCCGAATACTAAAGATTTGAAGGATACTCTTCGTTGATGCATTTATGAATAGAAAATATGCAATAATGGGAACTACTCTGATATGCGCCCTCAAGTCGCCAAATTTCTCGGCAAATATTTTTGGCGAGAAACTTCACGCTGCCATATTACTATCTAAATTTTTTGTCTACATTTTGAACTTTTAGCCTAAAATGTCTCCAAAAACGCGGTTTTCGCACATGCAAAAACTACGTTTTGAACACACAATTTAGCTAAAAATCCGAAACAAAAACAAAAAATTTAGATAGCAAAAACGTAAAGTTTCTAACCAAAAATATTTGACAAGAATCCATGTATACAGCGACATGTTTTAACTTAAAAAAAATCTACGAATTGCACAATGTAGGCAACGAACGAATCTACAAACTACGCACACCTCGCTTTAATAAAATAACATAACAACAATAAATTTAAAATAATACCATGTACACAGCGTTCTGTTTCAACTTTAAAAAACCTCTACGAATTGTACAGTCTAGACACTAAACAACAAAATAAACTAAAATAAATTTCAAACAATTTAAAAAAATAACGACATAAAAATTAATTAAATAAATAAATTTTAAACAATAACGACAGAAATTCACACTAAAGAACCAATGAACATAACATTCTACAAAATAAGAACAAGGATAAAATAAAATGCACTTACCATGAATTAATGCGTTTTCGAATAGCAGAAATATAAATTTCATACCGCCTTTAACATGCCGCCTCGTAATCACTATCGTATTTACATGACAGGCAGACACACTATCCAGAAAATTTATACTATGGTTCACAAATAAATAAAATCACAAATCCCTATTTCTATCACGCACTGCCATTAAAAATAATCTCCCAGACCCTCTTTCCACACTTCCATATACCCACTACCCCTCAACAGGATAGCCACAATCATATTTCCTTTTGCCGAACTTCAATTCAACAACTACCATTTTATCTTTTCCCTCCGGGGATTCTCAGACACAGAGGCGAATCAACGAGCTCCAGCGAAAGATTTTTCAACATTAAGCAGGGTTGCCATAGGAACACGCAATCGCGCCAAAAACCAGCGCAGAACACATATCGCCACATTTGGTGAAATTAAGGCGTATATTAGAGTTGTACCCAATAATGTAAATATGTTGAAATTGTTTTTTGTCCTTCTGATTCCCCCCCCCCGAATCGTTATATACTGGCTTAGTACTGGCTCGAATAGTCTCTTCACTGGGAGCATAAAATGCATATACTTCGGTTCCTAAAAAGGGAGGCTTATGCTGTACTGAGGATTACTCTGACATTTTTGGAAATATTTCAGTCCATTTGATAGTATTCTTGTTTTTGTATATAGGTGTAATATTATGACTTGTTTTGTTTAATTATTTGTTTTTAATGGTTGCATTTTATTATACTACGCTTTTGTATACAAATGAATTTCTGGCCACGTATTTTGTGCAGTACGCTTTTCTTGTGAGTTTCAATCTAACGACGACTGCATTGGGCAAAGAGCTCAAGCAGAAACTCTCCTGATACGTCTTGGTGATATCTGGCGACATTTTGGAAATTTCAGGAAAATACAGCTTTAAAGCTCTAGAAATTATTTTTCGAAAGCATCGGAAAGATTTGACAACAATATATAAAACATAGCTTCGACAATTTGAGTTAAAACAACACACCGATTGGAGACTATTGGAATACCTAAAGCGAAAAGAATCTGCGTAATATTCGTAAATTTCTCAGAACTAGTTTCGAAGGTTAAAATAAGAAAGGGAAAGAAGTTACTATATTTAAACCTTATACTAATTCTAAAAACTTACGAATATTACACTGATTCTTTGTGACTTAACACCTAAATTT